GTTTGAGCATGTCAGTCGGTTTTATTAAATTACAGGTAGTTTTATAGCTCAAAAATACCTTGACAAACAGGCATTGTGACTGTGAGCGGGGTCGCCTCTCCACAGATCTGACCTGTAACTTGGTCTGGTTTGGTCTCCATGAAGATAGAAATGTTTAATGCCATGCAATAACAAGGATGAAATGCATATGATGGATCTTCCACCAGAGAAGTTACCTAATGCACCTTTAAAAGGTTTTTTTTTTTTTGGAGCTTACCAGGTTGTAACGTTGTTACCTCATCAGAAACATGTCTGAACAGATTTTAGATGTCACCTGTGCTTGTTTGAGTAGCGATCTCTCCAAGCCTGTATCACCCATGCTCCTACATGGATATTTTTCAGAAATATACAAAACCACAATAAAACAACAGTAACACAAAAGTGAAGCATGTTTGATATAAAGTTTGAATGTTTGATGGAGGACATATGATTGTATTTAAAGGGTCCATATTATGCTATTTTCTGATTTTATTTATAATGTTGTTTCCTCATCACAAACAAACCTGGGAGCCCTGGAATTACTAATCTCTACTGAACAAAAGATAAAATGGGCTGTTAACTTAAAAACTACCACTTCATGACATCACAAGGTGGAACAGAGCATTTTGAGCTTGGAGATGTAGACAGACTAGTAATAAAGGGTTACTCAAACATGTGTGAATGAAACAAAACACAACTCCAGGTCTGATTTTGAGGAACAATTCTAACATGGCTTAAAGCTCACAAGAGTTTACACATGTCACACCTTAGAAAACCAAGAAAAGACATTTAAGCAAAATCCTACTTTTAATATAAACATTAAAAGTTCTATATTACACACATGGACTTTGTGTAGTGGTATGTTTCAAGTTTCAACTCAGGAATGTTTGTGATGAAGAAACAACATTAGAACAGATCAGAAAATAGCGTCATATGTGCCCTTTCATTTCTTCCCCTCTCATAATTTGAAATGCTCTGAAATTCTGAATGAATGAATATGCATGAAGTGAACAGGAAGAGTTGGGAAGTTCTCTTGTGTTTGGAAATGCATTATTAACAGTTTTAGGTGGATGTTCTGGTCTTCTGCTCCCCTCAGACCCATTAGCACAGTCCTAATGGGGCATTAACAATTCAGCAGCGCAGAGCAGAGAGACGGAGAGATAGAGAGAGAGGGATAGATGGAGAGACAGAGCGAGAGAGAGGTGGAAGAGGTGGGGCCCGAGGAGAGGAAAGAAAAAGATCACCTTCAATAATGCATCACAAATTTTTATTATTAGAGCTGTGGGTCTAAAATGATTACGCTTTTACTGCTAAAACATTTACACAGATTATATTTAAAGCAACAACATGTAACTTTCTGGAACTGCATGTCACCTGCTTGATTCCATGGAAATAGAAAGTTCAAACCACACTTCGGAACATTCTCCATGGATATAGATATATTTTATGCCATACTGTGGAATATTATAACTAAAGGAACAACACAGGGTTCCCACTCTTTATCACTGACAACATTTCTAAACTTTTCCATGACTTTTTCATGACCTAAAGTGAATTTTCCATGACTTTACAGCACCTACATGTTTCCACTCACCTTATGGTTTGGGATTATAGTTTTTTATTGTTCAAAATCCTGTCAGTTCATTTATTGTCGTCTCTTTTAAACAAAAGGCGGAGACGTTCGGAAATAATCATAATAGCCTAATGAGAACTTAACAGAACACTGTCGTTGTGTGAAAGAGATAGGCCTGTAACGATAATCAATAAATCGATTAATCGTATGATAACTTTTAACAACTTTAACTTTTTCCAGCCACGATAAATTCTATTTGCATGCATGTTTGTTTTCCTCGCTCTCTGTCGCTCTCTGTCGCTGAGACTGAATGTTAGAAGGCTTCTATCGCTCTCTGACTCCTCTCGTTTAACAAGTGTAATGACGCTTGAACCAACATGCACTGTGTTTATCAACAGAGAGGATGTGCACATAGTCTGCGCGCTTTCTGCACTCCGCTGTCCATGCGGTGCACTAGCAACACAAGCTAGCGCCACTGTCAAGGGTAACAAAACAGTTCATCGCCAAAACAAGTCACGATGCCGAATCAACACTGGTGAGTGGGACACGTCTACACAGCCACATGCGTCAAATGCAGCGAGCACGAAAACAACCAGAAGAAATGTCTCAAACCTCAACAGCCGATATAAACCCAAACCCGAGCGACACAACTAGCCTAGGCCCCGGGAGAACCCGAAATCCCGAAATCGAACCGACACGACACCAGACAGGACATTTAAATGACCAAAATGCCGAGCAGCAGCCACAGAAAGACGAGTCACAATATTCCAATGTAAGTCAGTGATTAAAATAACTTTTAAGGGCAATTTTGTTACAGAGACTTAATAATCCATTTTATTTAATGCTTTGGTTGGATTTGGTTCAGCAGTGGTTTATTCAAGTGCATTTTTGTGAACAAGTCCTTGCTGTCAGTCAGACACATTAGGCTATTCCTATGTTAAGTCTGTTTTATTTAGGCCTATTGTTTTTGTTTGTCTTACAGTTCCTGTTTTAAATGTTCTTTAGAAAGTAAGGTTTATTGATCATTGAGAGGATGTATTTGCATTTTTATTCCATGGTCATTATATTAGTTGAAATTGGTCTCAAAATGTCAATATTATCGTTTATCACAAGAAATTCTTGGTCAATTAATCGTCCTGCAAAATTTGTTATCGTTACAAGCCTAGAAAGAGATACTAAAATTCCATGACTTTTCAAAAACTTTCATTGAAGTTACAAAATTCCATGACATTTCCAGGCCTGGAAAATTACATTTTCAGTTTGCATGACTTTTCCAGGATTTCCATGGCTGTGGGAATGCCAACATTTTCATGGAGACAGCAGGCCCAGGCCAAGTAAGAGCCATGTTTGTGGAGATGCGAGCTGGCTCTCAAGTTTTCAGTGTAATAAAACATCTAAAAATAAAACAACAACAACAACAACATAGTTTTATTTGAGTCTATTTTTAAAGGTTACAGAGTGTGGCTTTAGCGTGCATAGTTGTTTTTTGTTGTTGTTGTTGTTGTTGTTGTTGTTGTTTTGGCTATAATTTGACTTCCAGGTGAGCAGATGTGATATACGTAGAGATAATTCCAACTGTTTCCTTACAAAAAACAAAACTGTCCAAACCTTGTCTAATTTACACACAAATTATTATTTGATAAAGCACATTTTATGATGTCTTTATTACTATTACTATTTAATGTACATGCTTAAATTGTCCTGAAAATGTGTTCCTATGCTTACATTTTTTTCAGCATTTTACATGGAATTTGTGCATTGATACTTTGCAGTGACATCACACTGGGGGTCTTCTACATGCATGTGGACGGCAGAATATTCATCAGTTACCATGGTGACACAATGCACATGTCAGTAAACCCAGGTCGATACATTTTAAGATAAAAACACATTTTCAAGAGTGTCCATGGTCCTGAATTTTACCAAAAAGGTGAGAGTGACAAACTGAAAAACTGTCGGCTAATGCGAGCTGTAAATTTATATGAGAGGGACTTGTTTAAGAGCACAGATCAGCTCTTTCTGGTCAAACTGTGTTAAAACAAAGTTCAGATAATCTATAATGTACAAAGTTTCAGATGGAGCAGTGCCTCCAGTTATAGCGTCCCACCCCAGGGAATGTTGATGACATCAGTTGCAAAGTTTCAATCAATTAAAAGCACATTAAAATGATTTGTCTGAGTTCTCGAGTGGAGTTCTACATTCACAACATGTCCGCTCTAACGGGACATTCTTTACTATAGGTTACCATGGCGACAGTCTCTCTAGTCCCTTTTTGTAGCTCATTGATTGCTGACATAGATAGAGGGATTCCATTTTTGAACTCAGCTACTTCCTGTGGTGGTTTTCAGAATCTACAATGAGATGATGTCAGACACTCCGATGGGGGCAGAGACAGTTTCCCCTGTGGATTATCCTGTACTGCCATGAAATATAATAAGTACATTCACAAACGCTGAACCTAATTATTTTTATTAGTGACTGGACTCAAGAACTCACATTTTTTCCACACAAATCTGCATTTTAACAAGATTCAGATTTATTTGAGCTGCCCCCATTTATATCAAATATTGGCCTGTAGAATGTTGTGATGTCATCTGAAACTCAGGCTCCACTGTGTTTTTAAAATCTTCACCTACATTGGACCCATTCTCCTCATATGACCCAATACATTTCTTTGACGTTGCTGTATTTTATCATTTCAAGTTGAACTCCACATCATTTTGCACTTTCATGTAGCTACCATCAACAAGCACTTCAAATATTAATAGGCAACTGCAGAACTTGTTACAGTTTAAATGTGGGTGCACTGACTCAAAATGCAAACAAAGCATTAATGTTATGATGTTATCTTATACATCCTCTGAGTAGTGTAGAGCTGTAACCTCTTACCCAATGCTGCCATCTGCTGGTCAAAATAGTAAATACATGAAATCTATTTTACGTCAACGAGAATGCGTTTTTAATAATCAAGGAGAGTCAAAACCTTAAGGCATATTCTGATGTGGAAGCAAAAGCATTGGCTTTATAATTATATATGTCTCTCCCGCTGGTCACTGGTGGGCGTGATTGACAGATGGATTAGCCAATCAGGGACACACATGGTCTGATCTTATAAAACTGCTTGTTACGAGCAAAAAATAAATAAAAAAAATCACTAAATAGAGAAATTTCATTTTGTTCAAAGTGATAGGTGATCAATGAGCTCCTTCATTTCACATGTGCCACTGAAATAAACAAATCTGTTTAGATCGACAGACATGTTGAACCTGACTCGAGATGTGACAGACAGATTTCTCATACTGATATGCCTCTGTATGAATTTGCCTGCCAAGTGTCCAGGACAAACTGAGATGCACTAGTTAAATAAGTGTATCTATGAGTTATATGAGCTGGTGTCATGTGTGTGCAGACTTGTGCGTGCTGGGAGCAGAGATTGACCTGCAGCAGGTGGACAACAGTGTGTTTGCCCTGGAGACTGTGCTCAAGAACTGGCTACATGAGCAGGGAGGAGACCGAGAGCACCTGCACCTGCTGCTGCCCAGCCCCACGGGCACTCCAGGTAATACCCCACACACAGAGAGTACCTGCAGCCCCACAGGAAGTCCAGGTAGTACCCCACAACACAAAGAGTGCCCCCAGACCCACTCTGTGGGTCTTGTGTGTAATAGTGCACTGGTCTTGTGTGTAATAGTGCACTGGTCTTGTGTGTAATAGTGCACTGGTCTTGTGTGTAATAGTGCACTGGTCTTGTGTGTAATAGTGCACTGGTCTTGTGTGTAATAGTGCACTGGTCTTGTGTGTAATAGTGGTAATAGTGCACTGGTCTTGTGTGTTAATAGTGCACTGGTCTTGTGTGTTATAGTGCACTGGTCTTGTGTGTTATAGTGCACTGGTCTTGTGTGTAATAGTGCACTGGTCTTGTGTGTAATAGTGCACTGGTCTTGTGTGTAATAGTGCACTGGTCTTGTGTGTAATAGTGCACTGGTCTTGTGTGTAATAGTGCACTGGTCTTGTGTGTAATAGTGCACTGGTCTTGTGTGTAATAGTGCACTGGTCTTGTGTGTAATAGTGCACTGGTCTTGTGTGTAATAGTGCACTGGTCTTGTGTGTAATAGTGCACTGGTTTTGTGTGTAACAGAGCAAAGGTCTTGTGTTTAATTGTGTACTGGTCTTGTTGGTGGTTGCAGTGTGTGTGAAGTGTGACATGCAGGAGCGCCTCATTAGCCCCGCCCTCCTCCCCCTGAGCACAAACCTCAGGGTGAAGACAGAAACCACCCGTGACTTCCTCCCTGGCAAGAGCTCAGCCAATCAGAGCGCAGCCCCTCAGAAACTCAAGGCCATCAGGTGAGTGACACAGACATGAGTGTGTGAGTGAAGCAAGTGAATGAATGAAAATACTTACACGCTGAGACTGCCACAGATACAAACAAGAAGTATTTACCTCTACTCTGAAGTATTTACCTCTACTCTGGAGCTTATGTGACACGCTGAGTAACTACCCTATTGTCCCTTAGTCTCGAGTGGGTTCTGGCTCTAAACACTTAACTCTTGACTCTGTACTTCTACTTCTACTTTTGGACACATCTGCAGTCCTGGTTTAGCCCTGCTTTGGTCCTGGTTCAGCCCTGCTTTGGTCCTGGTTTAGCCCTGCTTTGGTCCTGGTTCAGCCCTGCTTTGGTCCTTGTTTAGTCCTGGTTTGTTCCTGGTTTGGGCCTACTTTAGTCCTGGTTTAGTTCTGGTTTAGACCTGGTTTAGTTCTCATGCAAAATATATTTAATTGAACTGTCTGCCATGTTATAAACTTGTTCCCTCATCAAAAACAGGCCTGAAGAGGTTTTTCCAGGCATGTTTGAATAATCTAATGATCTCCCCTGGGCCCTATTCAAACCTTCATTGTGGCTGTAAGATTCTGTGTGTGTGTGTGTGTGTGTGTGTGTGTGCCCAGGGCGCTGCGTGCTGATGGCCTGTGTGAGAGTCTGCTGTACGGGCTGCCTCTCCTCCTGCGACCCTCCCTCTCCTGGAGCCTGGACTGGGACTACCTGGAGACCAACCACAACCTGTTTCACGCCCTGGGACACGCTCTCAGGGTCTGGACACACCCTACACCTACCACACTGTTACTTCAGATAATACATGTGTTAGAAGAGTAATAGTAGTACTACTTGTTTCCAATCAAAAACAGGCCTGAAAAGGTTTTAGATCCATGCATGTTTGAGGCCCTATTTGACCCTTCCTTACGGTTAGATGTAAGATTTTGTGCAATGCTCTGCCCACAAGCCTACGTCACCCACACAACAGTTTTCCATAAATATACAAAAACATGATACAAAACTGTACACAGCAACTTGATAACCTGATTCCATGTGGAGTAGTTTCATTATTGGGATGCACTCTTTTTGTGTTGTGATAGTGCTTCGAAGGGAGAGTGAGGGGGAACTCAGAGCATCAGTGAAACTTATTAACATGTTCATATATTTTTTGTGTGCAAATATAGCACTTTCAAAAACAAGAAAAGGTAGCATGGTGATCTAAATACGTGATGTGTTAGCAGTTAATACCCCATAGAAATACCTCCTTTACGATTATTCAGCGAAGTCATAATCGTGTTTATTCAGTTAGATCAGGCATGTCCAAACTAAGGCCCATGGGCCAAATGCGGCCCTCAGACAAATTGGCCCAAATTACCTTGCATCGATGAAAAATAAATTTTTTACTGCAAGTTTTTTGGAAATCTACCTTGATAAAGCTGATATTTAACATTTAGTGTGTGGTTTTAAGGATCTTAGCATGAATAAAGTCTGATGGCTCATTCTAATGTGTTAAACATGCACATATTTCAATTATTCACTGTATTGAGCACCAGTCTACGGCCCTCGATTGGCCCTCTGCTTCGCCTGTGTTTAGATACGTGGCCCTTGATGAAAAAAGTTTGGACACCCCTGAGTTAGATCATTTAAAAATATTTGTTCTGGAGATATGCACAGTTAGAATATTATGTATATAGTTTGTAATTAAAGGTATTAAAAGTCCTGTGTGATCTCAGGATAGAGCTCTGCCCTTGGTCCAGTCACGTTTTGACTTTCCTGACACATTGTTAGTCAAATATCATGTGAATATTGTCATCAAGATGCAAATGCAAAATGTAGGAACTGCCCACCTGTATTCAGTTCACAAAATAATCAGAGAGAACAAAACAATTTTAGCTGTCACTGCTTTTTCAATCAGTCAATATTTCCAAAATTACATTTAAAATAAGCTGCTTTTAACCAGTTTGTTTCTGTTTCATGAGCTTGACTTTCACAAAGCTGCCATGTTAGATCTCATGTTCTTGTGGTTCCTCTGTCAGAGCCGAGGCCTGTTCCTCCTGCTACAGACTGACTCATCCCACAAGTCTGCACCTGGAACAGCTACAGGTTTGATCCTTCACATGCTCCACTTTACAATACACTTATATCAGGAGTGGGCAATTCCTTTTTGCCATGGGGCCACATGAGTAACAGAAAATATTGTGGAGGGACAAAATGCTTAACTCAGTTCTGCATAATATTAATAGTATTTATTTATAAAAAGCCATAAATAGCAGTGTTTTGACAAGCTGGTAAAACTGATAAGAGTATATGTTATGACAAAGCAATGAAAAAGTGAGGTTACCAAAATGCAAAAAAAAAAAAAAATTATAAAAACACCTCTAAAATAAAAGCAAAGCAGCTTTAGCCCCATGTCTGAGGTAAAATTATACAATTTGTTTAATTTGTAATTCCAAATGATTTTAAACAGGCAGAGACACAGACAGAGACACAGACAGAAACACAGACAAATACACAGACAGAGACACAGACAGAGACACAGATACAGAGACACAGATACAGAGACATAGACAGATACACAGAGAGAGACACAGACAGAGACACAGACAGAAACACAGACAGAGACACAGACAGATACACAGAGAGAGACGCAGACAGAGACACAGACAGACACACAGACAGAGATGTTCATCTTCATGTTAATAACATGAGAAAGAAGCTCAATAAAAACATACTACTACATTGCAATTTTCACAAGTCTGTTGGACGTGATGTCAGCATCCTACAAAGCGTTAACCATTCAGATAGCTCATTCGAATAAACAACAGTGACAGTAAAACAAAGTATGTCTGTAAACAAGAAACCCATCTATACACGTATACAATCATCTACAGATTTGATCCTTCACACGATCCACTATACACATATACAGTGACCTTAAGTAAAGTAAACCTGCGTTGTGTGTGTACAGGTGTGTTCTCTCACTACGTGCTCCAGCCCTCCCCCTCCCTGTCTCTGCTGCTGAAGCCTGTGGTCTCCAGAGAGCTGCTCCTGCCCTGCTCCATGGGCCCCAGCAGCAAGGAGCCCTGTCCCGAGGCTCACAGGACAGTGCAGGTACCAGCCAGAGGGGGCGCCACACACTGACAGGCCTGTACATACGGCTGCTGTCCCTGCTGTTGCTCTAGCTACCTGTCTGTCTGTTTATTTATGTAAAGCAGAATTGACACACAAAGTACTCTTAATACTTGACTTGTATATTCTGTCGCCTGCGTTCTCATAGTGACGTACATATTGTGTCTCTCCAGGCGTGTCTCGGTCAGTTGGAGGAGGAGTTTGTGTTCAACCCTCTGCTCCTCAACAGTAACCTGTACCTCCATCTGCAGAGCCGCCGCCTGCACTCCCACTCCAGATACCCATACAAGTACTGCAACCTCTGTACTATAGTATCACAGTGTACCACAGTATACCTTTATGTACCTCACAGTCCAGATACCCACACAAATACTACAGTACCACTATGTATGTTACAATTCAGATACTCATAAGTCCTACTACCTACAGTATATATACTGTAGTACCACAATATACACCAGCCCAGATACACATAATTGTATTATGTATATTTTTCTTTTTTTTTTCCAGGTGACATTTTGTCAAAGCATTATGGTCTTACCTAGCTTTCAGTTGATAAAATAACCTGTGTAAAGTTGGCCCCTCATCAAACACAAACCTACACAAAAACAATGTCAATTGTTTGTGCTTTGTTTGTGCTGCAAAAAGTTTTGTTTGTGCTGCTTTAGTATTTGAGATATTAGCGATTCTTTTATAGATCAAATTTGGGTCAGCCAGTTCCCCAGGAAGTTTCAAAATACTCTATAACGGCCCAAAATGGTGTCAGTTGTTTGTGCAGCTGTAGAAAAGTCTGTATTATTATATAAAATATGAATCAAAAGCAAGTTACTAAAGACTGATACAGACTTTACCACAGCCTGAGATTGTTTATCTTCACTAGTTTTTAGGAGTTTTGTTAAAGCCGCTGCCGTCAGCTGAGCAGAAATATCATATACTGTAATTTCTTCAAAAATAATAAATAATAATTTTAGAAATATACTCGCACAAATGAAAATTGTCAGAGCACAGATGAAATTCAAACATTTCATATAATTTTCTGCCTGTTTTGAGGCTATATAACATTTTGAGGGGCTGGACTGCTGATATCTTAAAAACCGTAATCCCACAAACTAAACTTTTTGCAGCACAAAACATCACAAACACAGCGCAAATGACTGACACCATTTTGGGCCATTTTAGAGCATTTTGAAGTTTCCTGGAGGCTGCTGACCCCAATTTGACCTGTAAAAGAATCACTAATATCTCCAAAAGTAAAGCAGCACAAATGAAACGTCTTGCAGCACAAAACAGTAGAAACAACTGACATAGTTTTTGTGCAAGTTTGCATTTGATGGGGGCCAACTTCACGCAGGTGAGAAACCATACTGATTTAGTCGACTAGATGTATCCCCAATAATGATGTTAAAATATTACATTTGTACTGTTTCACTCAAAGATATTATTAAGAAAAAAAAAATAAACGTAATGTATGTTTAATGTAACTTACAACAGCACTCATAATTACTGCTGTGGCATTCTGTACAGGGCTGCACCTGAAAACCCCAGCCAGCCACTAGAGGGCAGCAAAAGCACAGGCAGCAGACAGCACAGACAGGTGAGAGACAGCCACACTAGATATACCAGTGAAAAGTTTGGAAACACACTCTCATTCAGTGTATATTTTCTTTACATTCCTACTTTCTACATTTTATATACACATAGAACATCAAATATATGGAATTATGGAGAGAAGAATTGTTTGTTTGTTTATATAGTTCACATGTGTCATTCATAGTTGCTTCGGTTAGAATCTACAGTGTGAATAATCATGGAAAAAAAACATAAGTATATTTTACAATGGATACTTTTTACTTTTACTACACTACAATTTAAGAGCAGGTATTTGTACTTTCTATTCCACTACATTTTGAATTGGACTGAGAAGTAAAAAGTACTTTTCTTTAAAGTTTTAGCACATTTTATTTGTAGTAGTTTTTATAGTAGTTAGAAGTAAAAAGTACTTTTCTTTACAGTTTTAGCACATTTTATTTGAATTAACATCCCAACTTTGAGCAAACCAAACACAGAAATGCACAAACACAGTTACAAAAGTAAAAAAAATCAGTCCTTTAATTGTTCAAAAAATCTTGGCAATTTTTTTTTTTTTAATCTTTAATTACATTTTTAAATAGGTACGTTAATACTTTTACTTTATTTGTGTAGCTTTTTGCCCATGTATCTGTACTTTGAGTGTATTAACAGGTTAAAAATAACCCCTAAAATCATATGAAAATTACTTTTTATTTTTCAGTCCAGCTAAAAAAAATACAGTACGGATATCCGCTTTCAAATGCAGTAGCGGCAGTAGTAGAGCATCAGTCCATTGATCCGAAGGTTGGCGTTTCAAATCAGATCCTGCTCTCGACATAAACAACATTGGTTAGCAGCCAGATCCTTAGAGTCTGGAGTAAAAACGTGTGTGTGAATGTGTGTGTGAATGGGTGAGTGGTTCCTTGATGTAAAGAGCTCAGAGTGCCTTGAAAGTGGAAAAGCACTGTAAATATGTGACCATAGAGTAAAAGTAAAAAGCACTCAAGTAAAGTACAGATACCAAAAACTTTTACTTAAGTACAGCACTTTACTACTTTTGAACAAGAAGTCAGTGGAGCAATTCTATGCTATTAATTTAGATCATTTTAGATTAGTAGTGCTGTTTACAATAACACCCTACAGAGGGAGAACACCGTGACATCATGTTTAGTCAAAAATGATTAAATGTGAATAAATATGTGAAAAATATTGAGCTCAAAATTGAACTTTGACCTTATTTGTCAGTTCCTGTTTTCTGCCTTTGTATCATGAGCCAAAAATAAGAAATCGTGCAAAATGCAAAAGGCAGAAATGTATGTGTGTATGTTTTGTTTGTGATAGTTCATAAATATATGTTATTTTAAAATCTAACCTCTCGTCTTCTTCTTTTTGTTGCTGTCTTGGCTCAGGGTATTAACACATTCAATAAATACACTTTTGTATTCAATTATACTTCAGTTATCTTTAATGTGAAAGTATTTGATGTATTCATTCATACTGTACACACTATACTGCAAAGTAACGTGTCTGTCAAACTGTTTAACTGTGTAAGTGTCGCTGCACGATCCTGATCAGCACTAAACAGGAAATTCAAACAAACTCCCTGATGACCGGACCTTGGTGAGGTGTTCTTATAATGGATGGAAGTCTAGAGAAAGTTGCCTTTGCATGACTCCTTATTTTGGCTCATGATACAAGGTCAGAGAACAGGAACTGACAAATAAGGGTCAAGGGTCAATTCTGAGCTCAATATTTTTCGCAAACAAATATTTCTTCATTAGAGCAACTAGAATTTTGAGAGCCCTACCAATTATACTTTTGTCTGGACAAAAGAGAAACTATTTTTTTTCTCAGTTTCACACTCCAGCGAGTTAAAGGGCCCATCTCATGCAAAATAACTCTTTTCACATTGTATCTTCTGCACATAAACAAGCACAATTTGGGTTTTGGAACATCCATTACACAATAGTTATGAAATCTTACTGATTTCTTGGACACAAGATTTCTTGGTCACAGACCAGGAACTATGAAAGGCCGACTATTGCTCAGCCCCCCACCCGTCCTGAGAAAGCACAGGCTCCACCCTCCAAACTTGACGTAGACTCTGAATGAGCCGCCCTTCCTCCGCCCATCTCACGGAGGGAGCTGTTTATTAAGTGCTGTCCCCCCCCCCAAAAAAAAAAAACATGCAAGAAAGGAGTAAACCTGAGGGAGGCTTCAGGAGCAGACATCAGAGAAAAGAACCAAACTCTATTGGTCTCAGTGAGGAGTTTAGATCTTCTCTCCTCTCCGTGTCTCCTCTGTGGGTGAAACTTCCTCAACCATTTTCAGCAGAATCGAGGAGAGGAATGGAGGAGAAGGAAGCGAGGAAAGAGAAATGGGATGTGGCCAATGAAAACAATGTAAAATCATGAGCTACATATGATATTGTTTAAAAGGCTGGACTACTCTTTTCACTAAAACACACTTCAGATCATTACAGTTTAAGAGTTAGTTACAAATACATATATAATCCTTTCCCCTTTGGTCATTTTTAGGGTTTAAAATTTTTTGTTCCACGACTGTTAAGTGTCGAGAGGAGCCAGTTGAGGTGGCTCGGGCATCTGTTCCGGATGCCTCCTGGGCGCCTCCCTCGGGAGGTGTTCCGGGCATGTCCCACCGGGAGGAGGCCCCGGGAAAGACCCAGGACACGCTGGAGGGACTATGTCTCTCGGCTGGCCTGGGAACGCCTCGGGGTCCCCCCGGAGGAGCTGGAGGACGTGTCTGGGGTGAAGGAAGTCTGGAAGTCCCTGCTTAGACTGCTGCCCCCCGCGACCCGGCCCCGGATAAGTGGAAGAAAATGGATGGATGGATGGACTGTTACCTAGCAACCGTGTTATAGAGTGGTCCAAAACTCCTTAAAGGTGCACTGTGTAACTTTTTGAGTGGGGATCCATCACCTGCTTGCTCACATTGCTCTGCCTAGAATGTTCCACACTATGGCATTAAACAGCTATACGTTACATTTATTTAATCACAGATGGTTTTATACATCAAAAATATGAAAAACAGGCATTATGACTGTGAGCTTGGTCTCCTCTCCACAGATCTGACCTGTAGCTTAAACTGGCTTAGTCACACACACACAAAACACAATTCCAGTTATGTTTTTGAGGAAGTAACAACATTGTAACATGGTTTACAGCTCACAAGTCAATTTTGTGTAATATAGGACCTGAAAATCTGAAATGTTTATTAAAAAAAAAAAAAATTAGATAATTGGAATAATTGTCCAGAAGAAGTTAATTTGTATACCACTCTCTTCCACTTTAAAAAGAAGTGTAAATGTTTAACTCTGGGCAGATACATGAATTATGATACTTCATTTTCATTCATTTTCCCCATAGAATTTTAGACTTTTTCATAACTCGTTCATTGATTCATTTGTAACTTTGTGGTTGGGGATCCTTCACCTGCTTGTTTCCATGGAGATATCATTACTCTGCCTGGAATGTTCCACAGTGTGACATTAACAGATCTACTTTACATTTATTCAATTACAGGTGGTTTTATAGCTCAAAAAGTAAACGTAATAAACAGGCATTCTGACCTTGAGCGGGGTCACCTTTCCACAGATCTGACCTGTCACTTGGGCTGACTTAGTCTCCATGGAGATAGAAAGGTTTAATACCATATTGTGAAACATTCCAGACAGAAAAAAAAGCCTCAAAAAAGTGTTTGAAAGACCCTCCACCAGAAAAGTTATACAAAGCACCTTTAATGTACACAAATAATTTTTTTAGCAAATAAAAATAGAAGAAAACATCTTTATTTTGTTGAAATAATGTTTCAATAATTAAACATATAAATAATAGTGTTTCTTTTGTGTAAATTGTGACAAACTTTTAGACTGAATTCTCCCTGGTGTGAGACTCTACTTCCTGTAATTTTCAACATATTTTTCAACTTCTCTTTTTGATTTATGTGAAACTATTATGAATTACATTTTCATATGCACAGCAGGTATTATTAAGTCAAAATTAGATCATTATTAAGCCAAAATTAGACCAAATATGTGGGAAAAACACACAATGCCTTCTTTAACCTACTTCTTTTGCTTGCGTGTTTGAATTATAATGGCATTTTAATGGCAGTATGCTGAGTCACGGTGCTGATAACATTATGCAAATACTGAGTCCAATGGTCCTCTGTGTAACTGCCCTCACGCTGTAGTCTTACTTCTGTCACGCCCGTGTACTTATACTGCAGATGGTGCTTTCAGAGTCTGCTGTGTGGCATTGTCCCTTTTTTAAATATCATCTGATTGTATACCCACGAAACGAGGACGTCCGGAGTTCTCACAAAAAAAAATGTCTGGCTGATTTCACACGCAGTAAAGGAGCTATACCTGATTTTGACTGTCTAAACAACGTGAAAAGCAGAAGTAGGTCATTTGAAACAGTTTGCAGTGGTCCAAAGTTATTCCTCACATACCTTACACATTCAGTGACCTAATCATGTGACTGTTTTTGATAGTCTTTATGATGAGGATGCACTGCGACAATTTAAAGCTGAGATTTCTGCCTTTAATTGTGTAAAAAGTACTGTACATATGTCTTGCCCCAGTACAGATATATTGTATAAGAGTATTGTCTGCATCAGTGGTGGCTGGTCAATAGAGGGCGTAAGTGTGCCGCACTCCCCAACTTGACCTAGATAAAAACATGTATAAAGTCATTAAAGTCATAAAATCATTTTGTATTAAAATGATTTCTATTCATTTAAGATAGTTCAGCCAATGGTGACCACAATGACTGTCTGTTTCTGACACTGGTTCTTATAATACAGTATATAGCCTATATATAATACATACATTTATCATTTTGGCCATAAGCTAAAAAAATTTATTCCACCAGCCACCATTAGTCTGCATCTATAATAGACAGCATTTTAATGTCTGACAATCAGGAAGTGCGCGGTTACTGCCAGCTGTTGTGAGCCAAACTCATCTCTGGCCGACACCGTCCACAGTCGATGGATTTTCATTTATTTATTTATTTATTTTTTGTTTATCATAATTACAAGGCTGCCACATCTCTATAACACCATTTTGAACTTTCATTGACAGTTTGAAACAAAAATCCTCCACACAACCTTTAAGTAAAATTACAGATACAGAGGTAAAAATTTAATCAAGCAAAAATATCACATGCTTAAGTCAGAGTATTTAAGTACCCATTTGTACGTATTTGTCCAAGTGTTGTTAATTTGTTAAAATGTAGTGATTAGGGGTGTGCAAAAATATTGAAATATCAATATTAGGGGTGTCAAATTATCGCGTTAATTGTGATTAATTAATTACAGTCATATTTAGCGCGTTATGTTTTTTAATCGCGTTAATCTCATTTTTAATCTCTAACTTTACTGTTTCTATATGCGAGTTGCTTTATTATAAAATCTGTTTTTATGTGTTGTTGGGACAACAACACACACACACACAAAATACATTTATAATTTTTTTATTTCGATAATTCCACTCATTGCCGGAAACCCACACAAAACGCGTGCAGTAAGAGCGATGTAAACGTCATGTTCACGTTGCCGGCGTCAGTCACGATGGACGAGGTGGAAGAGCCAGTAGAACAGAGGCAGCAGTGCACAGGTAAAAACACATTCGTGTCTTGGAAATTCTTCTCCCGACGTGAAATATAAAAGAAAATAACAAATATAAAATCGCCTACAACTTAAATGTCACTGGTGAAAACAACCTGCATAGACTCATGATGTCTGCACTACTGTCCTATACACAAACACACACACACACACACACACAAACACACACACACACACACACACACAAACATACACACACACAAACCCAAACACACACAAACACACACCTTCATCATCGTCATTAACCTGAGAACGCGCGGACCACGTTTCCTTCCGTAGTTACCGCGCGGACACCGACGTGCTCCCGTGAGCCGCATGTGGATCGTGTTTTCTCGCGTAAACCGCGCTTCCTCCTGTGCGCCTCTAAACCAGAACTAACACCAAGACGAAAACCAGGACTAATCCAGTCCAGGACTAAACCAGGACTAAACCAGAACTAAACCAGGTCTAAACCAGGTCTAAACCAGGACTAAACCAGGTCTAAACCAGGTCTAAACCAGGTCTAAACCAGGACTAAACCAGAACTAAAACCAGGACTAAACCAGGACTAAACCAGAACTAACACCAGGACTAAAACCAGGTCTAAACCAGGTCTAAACCAGGTCTAAACTAGGACTAAACCAGGACTAAACCAGGACTAAACCAAAACGAAAACCAGAACTAAAACCAGAACTAAAACCAGGTCTAAACCAGGACTAAACCAGAACTAAAACCAGGACTAACCCATTCCAGGACTAAACTAGGACTAAAGTAGGACTAAAGCAGGTCTAAACCAGGACTAAAACCAGGACTAACCCATTCCAGGACTAAACTAGGACTAAACTAGGACTAAAGTAGGACTAAAGCAGGTCTAAACCAGAACTAACACCAGGACTAAAACCAGGACTAACCCATTCCAGGACTAAACTAGGACTAAAGTAGGACTAAACCAGGTCTAAACCAGGACTAAACCAGAACTAAAACCAGGACTAAACCAGGACTAAACCAGAACTAACACCAGGACTAAAACCAGGTCTAAACCAGGTCTAAACTAGGACTAAACCAGGACTAAACCAAAACGAAAACCAGAACTAAAACCAGAACTAAAACCAGGTCTAAACCAGGACTAAACCAGAACTAACACCAGGACTAAAACCAGGACTAACCCATTCCAGGACTAAACTAGGACTAAAGTAGGACTAAAGCAGGTCTAAACCAGGACTAACCCATTCCAGGACTAAACTAGGACTAAACTAGGACTAAAGTAGGACTAAAGCAGTCTAAACCAGAACTAACACCAGGACTAAAACCAGGACTAACCCATTCCAGGACTAAACTAGGACTAAAGTAGGACTAAACCAGGTCTAAACCAGGACTAAAACCAGTGATCTCATATATAAAGCATTTCTCTATCAATAATATTTTTAATATGGTTAAGGAAAGACTGGACTTTTTATTGTCTTTAAGTAGACAAAAGTTATTATGTTCAGATTTCCTCGTCTTTGCTACTTTACAGCAAACAGTTTCTTATTCATGGAGACTTGGGCTCAACAGCCAATTTGGAGAGATTTGTTAAACAATAAATGACTTTATAAAGTCACTTTTTTTGTTCTATATCTGCCACAATAATGTAATAATGAATTTAAATGAAAATACCTCAAATTGAAGGCTTTTCTCAGCAATTTTTAGGTGAGATTAAAAAGAGATTAATTAGATTAATTTATTACAGATCATAATGAATTAATCTCTCAATTTTTTTAATCGCATGACAGCACTAATCAATATATTGTATCGTTTAATGTGATGATACAGTATCGATATCGTGGGCTGCTGTTTTCATATATTGCCAACAGTATTTTTTGGTATATTTTACTAAATTATTTTGTTAGAGCTACTTTTGTTGTTTGTTCATTGGAAGGAAAGTCATTTATGCGACACATTTGACATTTTCACAGTTTTGAGGATTAAAATGTTTGTGTTTCATATGAACTTTGCACAAGAAGTGGTTTAACAAAAACAATTAGTATCACAGCCATGATTTAGCCTTTACTTTTTAATTGAACCATATCGAATCGATTTGAAATATATCGTTTTGAATCAAAAGTGCACTGCATCGAGGTATGTATCGTATCAACAACTTTTGAATGATACCCAGCCCTAGTAGTGATATTGATTAAAACATGATACATGTTTTGGTTTGCAGTAGCAATAAAAATCAATTTATACATTTTTCTTATGCATTTTAAGTATTTAACCAGTAATGGAAACAAAGTGTAACAAAGTACAAAAAGTAAAAATACAATGCTCAAGTAAAATTTTTAGGTATCTGTACATAACTCAAGTATGTTTTACAGTGGGTACTTTTTACTTTTACTCAATACATTTGAGAGCAGGTATCTGTACTTTCTACTCCACTACATTTTTAGAAGGACACTTCAGCATTTTAGACATAGGGCCTCATTTCCTAGTGAGCCAGAGTGTTGGAGACATGTGGAGACACTTTTTAAAATATTCCATCCAGTCCTTGTATTTGCAGAGGTCACTGGTGCTAGGCTAGTGCATGTCAATGGTCATAGTTCTCCTGCTACTAAAAACAGTCTTACCCACTCCACAAAACACCCGAAACAAATTTGGTATTACACTAGACTGTTCATGTGAATGTCTGTGTTGATAGAATAATGTTTGAAATAAAACTAACCTTGCATCACATGAATTGTCGCATGAGGGACTATTTTCTCATATATCAGTCCACCGCTGCCAAGCTTTCTATCAGGAAGTATAACTCCATGCTGTTCAGACATAAATCCTTCAAATGCAAGGTTGGTTTTACTTCTACAATTATTCTATCAACACAGACATTCACTTCGACAATCTGGTGTAATAATAGATTTGTTTCGGGTGTTTTGTGGAGTGGATAAGACTGTTTTTAGTGGCAGGCTAACTATGGCCATTGACATGCACTAGCCTAGCACCAGCGACCTCTGCAAATACAAGGACTGGATGGAATATTTTAAAAGTGTCTCCACACGTCTCCAACACTCTGGCTCACGAGGAAATGAGGTCCTATGTCCAAAATTCTGAACTGTCCCTTTAACTGGACTGAAAAGTAAAAAAGTTATTTTCTTTTGCTCATCTCTGGTTTCTGAAAGTTTGTGAAAAGCGCTTATAAACTTTAAGGATACTCGGAATACGTCAGGTAAGTGAGGAATGACTTTGGACCAGGAGTGTAAAGGAGTGGGAAATAGTGAAAGTATAAAGTACACAAGGTAACTAGTACAGGAGTAATTTGTGTTTCTTTTTTTCTTCCCATTTCCTTTCAGAGCTTGATTTGTCATTGTATTATAAATATGTGATTATTTGACCATGTACCATTCTAAGCTCAAAATGTATATAAAAAAAGTCAATCCAAATCAACTAGTTGTGTTTTTCCCATTTTTGGTACAGCGCCATAAGAGATGAGGGAACACATGGTTAAAAACTTATAAAAGTGGATTTTACATATGTCCCTTTAAGTTTGTCCTTGACTCTGCCTCGCTCCTCAGGGCCGACAGTCTGCAGCCAGCAGTAAGGCGAGGGCCAGCGTAGCTCCTCTACACCCCTCCTCCGCCCTGAGAGCATCCTCCCGTCCCGCTCTCACCCTCCTCAGCAGCGGCAGCCGGGGGCCCGACCGCACGACTCTGGCCCCTTGCGTGAGCTTGATGACGGACGTGAATGGAGAGACAGACCTAGACCCAGATGTGGACATCCTGTGAGGAGACAGTGAGGAAGGGCTGGTTCAGAGCATTGCCAAAAACTCACGATATACAAATTACAATGAATTGAGTTAAGAATATTTTTGGTTTAATCCTGTTTGTTGAATTTGTTGCTGTGTGTAGACCTTTTGACTACTTTCAAGGTATTTTGAGTTGAAATAAAAAAGTAGAATCAAGACTTAATGCTCCTATATTACAAATAACTGACTCTTGTGATGTCTTGTAGTGGTACTTTTAAAAGTGAACAGCTCCTTTACTTCAGTAGAGATTAGTAGTTCCAGAGCTGAAATCATCCAAATGATTCTAGTGAAGGTGTATGAAGTTTAAAAACACAGTGGAGCACTTCCGGTATTATCACATGACATCACAAAGTGGAACAGAGTGTTTTCAGTGTGAGAGAAGAACTCAGCCTAAGTATGCATGTTTCTGTATTAAACATGTTTTTGAGGAGGAAACTACATTAGATCAGATCAGAGAATATGTATGTAATATGTAATATGGGCCCTTTAAAGCCAAACTACAGAACAAGCAGAGCACTCACGTCTCCATGGAGACAATCAGGGCCATCAGAAAAGTGACATAATAGGACTTTAACATTGAGAGTAGTTGATGTTTTAGATTTGTCTTGTATTTCAGGGTTTGTGAATTACACACATGATTGCTCTCACCTTTTTTACACTTCTTTTCAAAGTGTATATATTTCTAGATACTAATCAACATTAAACCTAGAACTGAAATGAGACTGCAACGTGCAAAGAACTGTAAAACATGAAATGGTAAAATGTGGATCTTTCAGTAAGTGTTTAAATTGTTTTTATCTCTGAAGTACAGATTAGCTGTGCCTGAGGATTTTTCTGGACTGAAAACTGTTTAGTTCATTTCAAGTTTAAGTTTGAGGAGTCACTGACTGTAGCTTACAACTACAAATGAAAAGTAAAAAAAAACAAAACAAAAAACAAACAAACATACACATACTGTTATACTGTATATACAATAATAGTGTGTCTACAACAATTATAGTCTGTTTTAACAGGCTGTTTAAAGTGCTTATCTTTAGATTTAAGATCTACTTTTTCTAGTTTGGAGACTTTGTTGAAGAGGCGTGTGTTACTTTCATAATAGCATTGCCATCTGTTACCTAGCAACCATACTGTAAACAAAATGTTTATGGAAACAAGCAGGAGGAGGCCCTCCTCCAGACCAAAAAGTGTCAGGTCTGTGGAGACACAGACAGTAATGTTTTAATGCTTTTATGTGAGGCTATTTTGGAAAGTAAAGTGCTTTACAGAATAATAAAGACATTAAAATCACAATAAAACCAGATCATAACCACTGTTGGGCAAGTTACTTTGAAACTGTAATGCGTTATTTATTACCTATTACTGTCATTTCAAAGTAATTCGTTACATTACAATATTACTGCATTTAAAATGTAAGGCATTACATTACTATTGCATTACTTTAAGTTACTCTCACCAAAATAACTTTTGCGCTGTATATGGACTGAACCAGGACTAAACCAGGTCTAAACCAGGACTAAACCTTAACTGAACTAGGACTAAACCAGAACTGAACTAGAACTAAACCAGAACTGAACTAGGACTAAAACAGGACTCACTGTAGGGACGGGCTCGAAGGTGACCGCAGGAGAAAGGAGCGGCTCTGCTCCGCACCTCACGGAGGTAAGAGTGACTGTCACCCGATCGCTCTTTAAGGACTCTGCTGCTCGGGCTCGCGGCCCTGATTTCAGCAACTATTGGCAGGTTCCCGAGCCGGTGCAAGAGTCTGTTACAGCGCGTAACTTCTACCTTCCTTCAGCGTGTCCAGAAGTCCAACTTTTTGTGTGATGGTTTGCATCTTCCTCTGCCTTTTGGGTGCGAGTGCAGGAGCCTTTGTCGGTGCAGAACGTTTCGTCGACGTTGTGGGTTTCGTCGGGGAGAAAACTTGCAACCGTACAGCACTTCAGAATCACACTGCTAGAGATTGAACATGTATTTAAATTTGGAAGCTGAACACATTCTGTACTGTACAGGAGACAGGAGTGCCTTGACCAGTCAGGACGCAGCGGGAGGAACGCAATACGCATTCATACAATGTAAAAAAAAAAAAAAAGGGCATGCAAAATTGCACAAACAAAAAAAAAAAAAAAAAAAAATCTGCGAAACAGCGAGACCGCGAAAAGTAAACTGCGATAGAGGGAGGGACGAGTGTAAACCAGGTCTAAACCAGAACTGACCCAGGTCTAAACCAGGTCTAAACCAGGTCTAAACAGCGTGGAGTTCTTTGTCAGTCCTTTCGCCCGCGGTTACCTGAAGGTCTACGAGGAGCATCTCCGGTGTTTCACTGCTGCTGATATCGAGGTGATTTTAGCGAATTTGTATGAAGAAAAACCCACCACTTCAATCCAGGTTAAAAAAACATTGTAACGCGCGTTACTCACATTTGTACCGAGTAAAATATTACTATTTTTTCCCCTGTAATGCCTTACATTACTGCGTTACAGCAAAAAGTAATGCATTACTGTAATTCGTTACTTTTATAACGCGTTACTCCCAACACTGATCATAACATAAATAATCATAAAGTGAACATTAAAAAAAAGAGAGAAGAGTGCAGAATATAAACCTTTCAGTCATATGCAGCGGGAGTCAAAGTCGAGTCTGTCTCACATGTCCAGGGTTTAGCTGCATGAATCTGAAACACTGACTCCCCGTGTTTAGTCATGACTCTGCTGGTGCCCAGAGTGACACTAACATGTCACAGATGGACTTTGGTGCTCGGCCATGTAGAGACTTGTACAAGCAGAGTCGCTTTAAAGTCTCTGAGCCACAGGGGGCAATGCAGAGAAAAGAGGCACACACCAGTTTTGTGAAGGTTTCATACACAACACAGATCTATAATGTCAGGTAGCTTCAGTCCATCTGTGGTCCTCACGGCGTGGTCCTCACGGCGTGGTCCTCACGGCGTGGTCCTCACGGCGTGGTCCTCACGGCGTGGTCCTCACAGTGTGGTCCTCACAGTGTGACCTGCATCAGTGGCTCAGCCGTGTCACTCAAACCACACATTCTATAAAAACACACCATCAGCCACCATGTCTTTTCTTCTAAGAAATATACCACCAATAGAAACACTAACTGTTCAAAATGACTGTGCAGAATACACATTTTCAGTACATTTATTTAGTAACTTCTCAAGACTGAAAGTTACACAGTGGGGCTTTAACTCATGTAAATAGGTCTGTAGTGTTTACGGCGTGGGAGGAGCCACCGGCAATGGAAAACTCACTCAGCAACAAACACAAAATAACTCTATAAAAACACAAATCAAACTGTGAAGATTCAAAGAGAACAATGGAAACTGATGACACAGCAGCTGAGAGCACACACATCAACACCCGTGCACACAAACACACACACACACACACTTATGCACACACACACAAACATGCACACACACACACACACAAACATACACACAGACACAAACACACACTCACACTTATGCACAAACACACACACACACACTCACACAACCACACGGACATACAAACACACACACACACACACACACACACACACACACACACACACACACACACACAAACATGCACACAGACACAAACACACACTCACACTTATGCACAAACACACACACTCACACACACTCACACAACCACACGGACATACACACACACACAGACACTCATTCACACACTCACACCAACACTCACACAAACACAAACTCACACAAACACACACTCACACTAACACACACAAACACACACTCACACAAACTCACACAAACACACACTCACACAAACACGCACTCACACTAACACGCACACACACTCACACAAACACACACTCACACTAACACACACTCACACAACCACACGGACATACAAACATGCACTCACACAAACACACAGACACACACACACATACACAGACACTCATTCACACACTCACACCAAGACACACACAAACACAAAGACGCAGACAGGCACTCACACTAACACACACTCACACAAACACACACTCACACAAACACACACAAACACACACTCACACAAACACACACTCACACAAACACACACTCACACTAACACACACTCACACAAACACACACACTCACACACACACACAAACATACACACAAACACACACTCACACAAACACACACACACACACACTCACACAACACACACACACAAACATACACACAAACACACACTCACACAAACACACACACACACACAAACATACACACAAACATGCACTCACACAAACACACACAAACACATACTCAAGCACACAAACATGCCCTCTCACACACACACGCTCACACAAACATACAAACACACACTCGTACAAACTCATGCACGAACACTGATATAAACACACACTCACACACAAACACATACTCAAGCACACACACAAATACACACTCGTGCACGAACACACAGATCCACACTCACATAAACACACACAGACACTCACTGACACTCATTCACACACACACACACACACACACACACGGCACATGCACATGAGGGGGGTCTCGCGTGTGCACACTCCCCGGGTCGGGCCCTCGGTCGGGGGACAGAGGGGTCTGTGTTCCTGGGGGCCGCCGTGGGGCCAGTGTGGAGCTGGAGAACACACGCTCTGTTAGGGACGCCTCGTGTACGTCACTGTGCCTCACTTGAGACTCTGTAGTGACCTCACGCTGGGGGTGTTGCGCATGTATGTGTATGGCAGAATGCTCATTAGTTACCATGGTGATGCATACATACACAGTCAAGTATCAACAGTCACGTGCCCTGGGGGGGTAATGAGGGTCCCGCCATTCCACCCACTGCTATGACCATCTACCCCAGGCATTTCAACCACTCCACTGTACTGATACTTTGCAGCTGATGCCCATGGAGGAGGTGATGCTAACTGAAAGCACTGCTCTGTCACAATCTCTATTAGACTTTTTCAAATCCAAATCCAATTTAT